CCACCAGACTTCTCCTTGGAGGGAAAGACAACTCATTTCTTTCAAGTAATTAAATTCTCTTAAATTAATTGAATTGTTAACTAAATCCAGCTCATTAGAAACGAAAAAAGGGTACATGAATGTCAGTGGCCTTTTATTTTTACATTTCTCTTTAAAGTAGCCACTTCAATCGTGAAACAGAATAGGAACTTACTTTCTTGTTCCCCTTTTGCCTGAAGGTTTATTTCAATTTGGGTCCATTGTTGAAGAAAATATTAAAATTATTATATAAGAAAAAAAAAATAAGTGTTTCATCGTTGGTAGTGCTACATAATCATAGCCGATTCTGCTAGCGTGTCTTTCTTAAAGAGAAAATTTATGTTTCCCAGCTCAAGAAGAAAAATGATAATCATTATTAGTCTCTTGCGTCCTGTAAAACAAGACATGTAAGTGGGCAATTTCTGCACAGGTAGCATTATACATGAATTTGATGTGAAGAATTATTTAAAATTAAAAACATGTATCTATTTAAACTGAGTCACTGGAGTAATAGCAACTAATGTTTTCATTTTACTTCAGTTTACGAGTCCTACCAAACTAACATGTTTTCGAGGCACATATGCCAATGAATTAAAGTAGCGTGTGTTTGGATTCGCGTATTGAGTTATGTTTTCGAACAGAATCACGTCAATTTAATGAGAAGCAAGTAATATTTATTTCTGATTTTCACGTTTTTTACGCGATTCAGATGCTGTTGACGCGGAACCAAACACACAGGTAGAAAACTGGTAACAAAGACAGTGAATACACATTGCTTGCATAACAATTTAGTAATTGCGACCTTAAAAGCTTTGTATTATTGGGGTTGTCTTAAATATTGATGAAAATATTTATGTAATAGAACCCATTAACAAATTTGAAATTAGACTATTGATTCATAACATTATAACAAAAACGCTTAAAATGTCTTTGTTACTAAGATTATGCAAAAATATGTTGGTTTAAAGTCCTTTTTAATTTTTACGAACAGATCATTAGTTCAAACAGAACTAAACTTAATCTCTTTGAATAAAATCTTAAATTCGAATATTGTAAAAGGAAAAAACCGACATCAGCTAAATTTGATGAAAAGTTAAATTCGACGAAAACTAATTGTTGACAAACATGAAACACCGATATTTCGTACCAGTTATTAAAAAAAAATGTATGACCTACCATGAAATTTATGACTACCAAAACACGCGCATTTTATTTAACGACCAAAGAAAAACGCTAAAATCAAATACTCCACTCCAGACCAAGATCAAATAAGCAGGTATAATTTGAAATTCAAACAAAACCACTCACTACATGACTAAAAAATAGAGGAAAACAAAACAAAAATCAGCAAGTGACTATCATTGGTTTTAACAGCTCTTAGAAGAGTCTTCAAGTGCTGTGGTCGATCCATTCCCTTCTAACAGCCCATCCACATTCATTCTTCCTTCTGCTGCACTTGCAGCAGCAGATTCATGCAAAAGAGACTTTGGCAATGTAACTGTCCCAATTGTTAAATCACCAGGATTGCTGACCTGTTATGAACAAAGTATCAGTAAGGTTTATTTAATCGATTGTATGATCCTCAATTTAACGGACATGTAGGAGGGAATTAATAAAAGAAAGCAATAAAAAAATTTATAGAAACATGTCAAGTGTGGGGAACGTACCACATGATGTAAATGCATTGTATTTACCTTTTTTGGCAATTGCTGTTCCTTAGATTTTTTCTCCTGAGTCGCCTTTTCACGAGTCTCGTAAAACTCAAAATCGTCCAAGATGCATGTTTGGCTTGAATACTCCTTGAAAATTTTGACAATTTGAACACCCTTCTCAAACTTAACCTGCAGATGCCATAAAAATTTAGTTGAAAGTATGTGGGGGGCTTCACAGGGGCATCATGAAACAAGCCACTAAGAAAATACCTCCTGAGTATCCCTACTATTTGTTACAGGCTTGTTTTCATTGTTTTCTAGTGTTATGTGCCTCAACACACTATTTGGAATATCCTTTATGACATGCCACTTCACAGAAAAGCAACCAGTCCACCTGTCCTGCTGCCAGAAATCTACAGATTTACCAAAATCAACAGGACCCAACATCTCTGCTAAACCAACAAATTGGCCACTAGTGTTGACCTGTAGCAAACGATAAATGAAGAGAAGCAGCAGATTAGAGAAACCAACAAAATCTAAGAATTTATAATTAAATGCTGCCAATTGACACTGACCGAAAATAACAAAAATAAGGGACAGCCACCAGACTTCTCCTTGGTTTCTTGATATGCAGCATCCAGCTTTTTATTGCCATTAGGGGTACTTGCCCAAACATTATATTTTATGCTTTTATGAATATCATCCTCGCTATAGGATTTGATGACAAAAAACTTGGCATCAGAATAACTCTCAGAAAAATCCTTCCCGTTGTAGTGTTCCTTATTGGGAATTATAGGAACTTCTTCGGTATCACTCTTCACTGGAAGGTTCTGTCCTTTGAGTAATAATGTGACAGGTCCAAGACTTTTGATATTTTTATTATCATAACTCTTGGCAGCTCTGGGCCCCTTATTTAGCTCACTGAAACCATCCATATTTCTTTTGAAATGGTTAAAACCATAGCCATCACCTGTGGCATTAAGCCTGTTATTGGCAGAGCCAATTCTAGATCCATATGCAGCAGATCCAAAACGAGAATTGGCCCTAAATGTGCTTCCATATTGGTTGTACATCCTGTTGCTTGGATACATGCCATTCATAAATCCAGAAACCAGTTCAAATCCAGATGGATGTCTGGAACCATTTAAGTTCTGCAATTAAGAAAACATATTTAAGAAGAATTTTGAATAGATGCCACAATATTGAACGAAGAGACAGATCTACAACATCTGCATGACATGCAGCATTTAGACAGGATTATGATCAGGTGTCAGATAAATATGCAGAAACACTGATAACAAACAGATGACAAAAAAAGATATAAATAGGAAGTTGATTGATGAACATAAAAATAATTTTCTGGGACATTTTCAATTAAGAAAATACAGCATACAAGCTTCACTTAAGGGTATGTTTGGTTCAAAGGAAGGGAGGGGAGGGGAGAAATTTTAATGGAAGGGAGTTGTTAGAAATTCTGTTTGGTTGAGAGCAAGGAAGGAGAGGGATTTTCATGGAGGGGAGGTATGGTAGTCTTTTCATGTTTGGTTTACAAAGGGATGGAAGGTATTTTAAAAACCAACTTACCTTTGTATTCTTATAATTTTGAATTTAAAAACACAAGATATTTTAGACACTAAACTGAAAATGTTTTAAAACTCCTCCCCTCCCAGGCAAATCCTCCCAATATTGGAGAGAAGCTAATATTATATTAGGAGAGGTTTTGCTCCCATCCTAAAAATTGAACCAAATAAGAAGAGTTTATAAAAATCTCTCCCCTCTATTTCCCTCCAACCAAACACTATGTAAAGGTTTTTGTGGTGTTAGGCAAGAAATAAAAAGAACACAATTAATTCAAGCTCACTTAGTCTGCATGGGAAATTGCACCCAGGAAAAGGGATGACCATTCCAACATACCGCAAATTGTGGCAGAGGCTGAGGAATTCTTTGATTCCTTTGAGATGTAAAACTTTTGACAGGCATTGATGAAGATAATCCAACCTTGGCTCCTTTTTTGGACTGACTATCAGATACTAATGACATGTCTGAAGGGACTGGCAACTGTGCACCATGAGTACTGATTCTTGGACCCTGATATCCTGTAAAAGGAGCATAAGCTGGCCAGCTAGTCCCTTGATAAGAATCATTTGCATTCAAAGATGTGTGTTGGGAACTAGTTGAAAATGGCTTTAAGCCATTTTTATTTGTAAAATCACTATTGGCCATGTTAACAGTGTTTCCTTTATTCAAAACATTTGATGAAGCAACACGATCAGCATCAATTGGAGTTGATATTTCTCCCTGTGGAACACTGATTTTGTTTGGAGTATATGATACATCACTAGAAGCTGGAGATTTGTAATAAGAACAAGGATACTGGTACTGTTGCAGACCATAATGCTGACCATCTTGTTGAAGGATTGAGGAAGAGGAATTGGGTGGTGCATATGTTCCATACGGTGTATAGCCATAACCTTGATGGTACATATAAGAGCAGTTATCCCCATAAACACCCTGTCATTAGATTGAACAAACAAAATCTTTATTAGATAGTCAAAGGTTTTCCCTGTTTTCTTAAATCTATATTTTATCATAAAAAATGATAAGCAAATCATAACACAGGAGGATAAAAACAATAAAAAAGAAGACACAAGATGACACTTCTAAAAACATGGCTGAATGATCTGGACACATATTTATCAAAATAAAAATAGATACATTACCAATTCTGAGATCAGACAAAAAGGTCTGCAATTGCAAATAATTAAAAATCATTTAAATTCAAAATAGCAACAACATAGGCCAACTTATAGCTTAAATGGTGGCTAGCACAGTTTAGAACTCCTAGAAAATAACCAGAGCCACAAAAACAATTTAAGAAGCAGCTAGCACCAATTCACCATCATTTAATTTTAAAGATAAAAATATAACAGAAATTAGCCAGTCCTCATCCAATGGTGAGGTTATTCTCAAAACAATACAACAACTGATATTCAAGAACTGTATAAAAAGACACACGATCATCACAAAGTCTGGAAACCAGAGAACGTGGTGCTTACTTGGGCCATCCCTCCATCAAGGTTCATATATCTGGAATAAACATTCCAATCACCTTGCCCATCATAACCTGAAAGAACGCTCCAAACCATGTCATTTCCACAAAAGGAATAATATAGATCATTTGCTCTTCTTTTGTATATAAACAATATATAGAGTCAATTTCATTGACACTCATGAAGTTTCGTGAATTTGCACACAATTCCCTCGCTTCTTTAACGTTTACATTAAACTTCCTTATAGGAGCCACAATGTAATGTTTTCTAAACAATTATTTAAAGGGAATAATATAATGTCTAAGGGGTATAAGTGTAATGATTTTTAAACAATTAAGGGGGGGTTAGAGTATGGATGGAAACAATTGGGGGTATGTGTGCAATCTCACAAAACCTCAAGGGTGTCTATGAAATTTACTCTAACATATATATCATCAAAAGTCAAAACAGCTTACCTTACCTCCATAATAGTACGCCGTAGAAGGGTATCCATTTGGGACAAAGCGTGAATTTGGATTGAACGGCTTGGCCGACCCCTTAGCTGCACAATTGGAAAAAACTGGTCCAGTCTGCACCCAAATAGACTATAATCAGTCAACAAAGCTCATGGCCAAAAACTCACTCTAGTGATTTATATACTTCACCAACCAAAAACCAAAAAACGTGAAGCAATATAATAAGAAACACTATAAATGGTCAAAGTAGCTGATAGCTCAACTCCAAACAATTTAGCGTTTTAGATACTTTACTAACCAAAACAAAAAACGTGAAGCAATAAAATAATAAGCACTATAATTGGTCACCATAGCTCTACGCCAAACAATTTAGTGGTTTAGGAAATTTACTAACCAACAAAAAATAACGTGAAGCAATAAAATAAGAAGCACTGGAGTACCTTCTTTGCAGGCTCAGCAACTCCAATGGTTTTGGACTCTGAATCAAGGGACAAATTTTGCAATAAATCTGCGGCTTCTGCATAGTATGGTAAAAGAAAATCATTTTACTTCCAATATAACATCACTATTCACAAGCACAAAAAATTATGGGTAAAAAAAGAAACTTAAACAGGAAAACAAAACAAAATTTGAGCAACTAAGCATTATTATACACCACTAACCACACTAAAATTCTCTAGAGAAACTATGACTCTTAATATACTCCTATTAGTCTCTTCTAAAAGAAGAGATTTGTTGTAGTCTAGAGTGTAAAAGTTGCTAACAAAAAGAAGAAATGAAAATAAAAAGAGGATTTTGACTTAAAAGCAATTAACCACCATGTATGTTTCAGTCATGACCTACACATCTTGAAAACCAATGAATGATGCACGACAGTGATTACAAAAGGAAAGCATAGAAGCCCCTATCAGTGAATACACACAAGATGAAGAGAGAAAACCCACATGGGGCACCTAGCAGAGAACAGAAAATTGAAGAAGAAAAAAAATTGAAACTTTAGGAAATGGACAGCACAAATGCAAAAAGAAAAAAAAGGGTTTTGATGAGAAAAGCATACTGTCAGAAGAAGGAGCAATAGCTGCCATGATCGAAATCAGAGAGATAAAGGGTCGCCGCCAACTCCGTGTTCTTTGGGTTTTGAGAGACACAGAGAAAGAGAAGAGGGAGATTTAAGAAGATCCTATTTAAGTATTTATATTATGCTACCAAGAAAGATTGCTTACTTATGCCTCTTCGGTGCTAGCAAATTAGGTGTGCTAATTTCGACTAAACAATGTTGAGTTGAGGAAGTGTTTTTTTTTTTTTTTTAAAATAGATTTTTGGGAGAAAAAAATTTATTATTACTTTTCAAAATAACTATTTTTTCAAACATGTTCTAGAATAAATCAATTTTAGGAAAAATTCATCCTATTTGTTTTTATTTCATTATCATCTAAATTGATTTTAAAATAATTTTAATTTATCAAAATATCCTTAGTTTGAGTGGAATTATGCTTAGACTTTTAAAGCAAAATCTTAAATTTAATTTTTGTGGATCGAAAAATAAAGTTTACAAGAAAAACTCATCAAAAGTTGATTTTTTCTGTCAAAATTAGTCATCAAATTGAGGTGTATTTGAATTTTGTTACTTTAAAATGTTTTTATAAAAACTAAATTAGGAATATTTTCAATACATTTAAATTTGAAATAATTTTTAAATAATAATTAAAATTTCAATTTGAGAAATAAAATATTATATTTTATATAATTTTAATCCATGTCTATTATAATAACTATTATTTTAATTTCTACAATATACATATTAAATATTAATTATATAATTAAAATTTAAAATAAATATAAATAAATATTACGTTTGAATACATAAATTATATTTGAAATTTGAATAAATAAATATTTTTAAGTATATAAATTATATTTTATATTTATAATAAATAATTATATTGTAATATAAAATTAATTTTATTTAATGATATTTTTAAAATATTATAATTGAATTTATAAATAATTATGATACAAAAATTAAATTAAATATGAAGTCAAAAGAATTCTTAAAAATTCACTTATCAAAAAAAAATTCTAATAATACTATTGCGTAATGTAGTCGTTTAAGTTTTATATACATGGATTAATAGATTAATTCGTTTAAAATTAAAAGTGATTATAAAAAATTGTTTTACAAAAATTGAAGTGACTTTTTAAGAAAAGAAAAAAAATTCCTTAAAATGCCATTTAAGCAAACATATTAAAAAAATAATTGTTAACCTTACTAAACAAATAAGTTTTAGAAAAAGCCAAATATGTATTTGAACTTTTATTTTAAAATATTATTTCAAATCTAATTTGTTCTAAATGATAATGAAAAATGATTAAAGAAATATTTATTTTATTTATAAAAAATTAAAATGTTTATAATAAGAAAATTTGAATATAATAATTAATGAGTGTAATATTTTATTTATTTATTACATTTAATAAATATGGTATTTAATATCAATGTTTAATTAATTAAGTATATAACGTGCTTATGAATTTGACTTTTTGAAATGATAATAAAATATTATTTTTTATATTTTTTAAGTATTTTTTTTACATCTATATATTTTTAAGTATTAAATTTATAATAATTACTTTTGTAACGATAACTTTATAAATATATTATTTTTTTTAAAAATCATGTTAAAGAATAAAGAACATGTACCCTTTATAAAAAAAATATGTAAACAGTGACAAATCTAAAAACTTTAGATAGTGAGGACAATACTTATTCATATATTTGTACATTAAAAATTTTACATATAACTTTTAAAAGTATAAGTATATTATAATTATTTTTTATAATTTTTTATATTTATAATTATAATTAAAGATGAAAATAAATTATGTCAGACTATGTTATATTATAATTTAATAGGTTTAAACCTAACTTCTTTTTAAAATACATGTTTTAAATATGATATTTTTATCTATCATAGATATTTTTTAAATGTTTAGTTAAAACTATAATCTTAAAGACCTACTTTATAATAATTTAACACTAATAAAAATATAAAAATAAATATGTTAAATTTTATAAAAATCAAGTTTAATTTATTTATTATATAAACATATTTTTAATATGTGATATAAATTTTTAGATGATAACATAAAACTTCCAATCTTTCTTATTTTGATTTTTTTTAAATTAATGTATACAATCTTACAATTTTTACTATTTTGATTTTTTTGATCAACATATATAATAAATAGAAAACACAAAAGGTAAACATGTATGCTGCAAATTTTATTTTTATCAAAAATTATTTTTTTTAATATATTATATTATATATATATATATATATATATATATATATATATATACATATATTAAAGAGTATTCTTTATCACATATGAGAACTAATCTCATTTACAAGTTTGACAAATATCAAAGAAATGAACAATTTCACTAAATTTATATTTTATACATACGATAATTATATATATATAAATATCTATTAGAATATAATTTTTATTTTTAAAATATATTATTTTTTGTATAAAAAAATTATGTATGTGTAAAATGGTAGTGGGGGCAAGTACCCCCACTCTATTATATGTAGATTTGTCCCTGTACGTAAATATAAGTTAAGGGAAGTAATTTACAAAAATATTATAATAATCTACAAGTTTTTGTTTGTGAAAAAACATGTACAAACATATTTTAATGGACCTTCCTACTTCACATCCAAGCTCAATTGTAACTTAAGAGATGTAATGATCAGATTTTTGCATACATATGTATAACAAACATCATCATTTGATCATTTAAATATTAATCTTTGTACAAATCAAACTCATCTTATATTTCATCTTTTTTTATTCTCGGTTTTCCAATAACAACCCAACATTTTGCTTGTACTAGAGAGAAAAATACTCCTTAAGATTGTAAAATCTTGAGTTTTTGGAAGGGTGTCTTATTAGAATATAGTTGATGTTTGGTGTCTCCTCTTCACTTATGAGTTCTTCAAACTGTTTCCAAACTTCATCTTTAATGTTTCTCAAGACGTAGATTTAAAAATTAGATAGCTAGAGGAAAATCAATAGAGTGTAGATTTAGGTGTAATTACTTATAGAGACACTAGTGAAAAAAAGACTTTTAAAATTGGTTATTTTTAACTTTTAAAATCGGTTCTTTAACCGATTTTGAAATAGCCGATTTTAAAAGTTAGACTTTTAAAATCGGTTAAACAATCGATTTTAAAAGTTAACTTTTAAGATCGGTTGTTTAATAACCGATCTTAAAAGGCTGGCGGGGAAAAAAATTAAACTGGAACGGGTCGTTCCAAAAATGGAACGAGCCGTTCCAGTTTAACCAAAAGACCTAAATTTAATTTTAAGTACGGCCCGTTCTCCTTGGAGAACGGCCCATTCCCAAGGGAGAACGGCCCGTTCTCCTTGGAGAACGACCTGTTCCCAATGGAGAACGGCTCGTTCTCCAAGGAGAACGGCCTGTTCCCAAGGGAGAACGGCCCGTTCCAGGTTCGAAATTTAGCCAAAATGAGCCTGAAATAGAGAAAAAAAAAGCGTGAGAAAACGAAAAGAGACACAACAAGAACATGAGAAGACGAAAATCAAAACGAAAACGACAACAAAATTTACCTTATTGGAGACTTTAGATAATGAGAGCGTCACAGATTAAAAAGAAGAATGAAGGGAAAGATTAAAGAGAATGAGAATGGAGGGGAATATAAAAGATTTCTGACAATACTTTTAAAATTAGTTATTGAAGAACCGATTTTGTATACTACATACAAAATCGGTTCTAAAATAACTGATTTTAAAAGTAGCACTTTTAAAATTGGTTCTTAAATAACCGATTTTAAAAGTAGCACTTTTAAAATCGGTTATAGAATAACCGATCTTAAAAGTACTTTTAAGATCGGTTAAATTTTAACCGATCTTAAAAGTGTTCATTTTATTTACAAATTTGTCACCGCGTCACTTTTAAGATCGGTTACCTTATAACCGATCTTAAAAGTCCGATTTTAAATCCAATTTTTGCACTAGTGAGAGATAGGTTGGAAACTTTTGGGGTAACTTATCTTCTACAACTGCCATAAGTCAGATGTTCTTTGTTGCTCTAGCCTCCTCATTAAACATGTCGATATACTCCTTAAGTGACTTATTCGGTTTGTACCTTATCCTTTTCAAATCACCTCCATTTTTAGGCTAATAGTGGTGTCCTTGCCCTTAACATGGTGACATGACAGGCTATCATTGATATTTTCAAATTCGTTCCCTGCATTCCATTTATGTAGGAATGTGATGGATTTAACCTTGCCATGTACTCCATATGTTCAAAAATCCTTATTATAACACAAAGCTCAACAAAGATCAGCTCATACATCATTAAAGCATACCTTTGCTACTAAAGAAGTGCAACCAAATCAACAATCAAAATCATCATCGCAACCATCTCTAATAATGTATCCATATGTTGCAATGAAGTTATACTCATCATTGTGATTGATGCACCCAAACCCTTAACTCCTTATGGTGCAAAAAGTTGCCTATGATCACATCATGAAAGATTTTGGGTGATAAAAAATTCACATAGTTTTTAACATAAAGAAAACAAAGAAATAAAGAAGACAATCAAAGATGATTACCACAAACAATGTTAATGTTGTGATGTTCAATAGGAAAAAGTGTACCCTATGACCTTCACGGTGGTATAAATGATGACTAGGACAATCTTGAAAAACCTCTAATGGTGGCTATTGCAAGGACTTTGATGGTAAAGTTAATGTTTGCAAAAAAAATGTGGAGTAGATGCGTACTATTGTGGAATATCTATTTACATAGATGATAATTGACGGAAAAAGTTGATAGATCAATCATGACACATGAAATACCAAGCGAGCTAAATGTATTAGGTGCCAAATGTGTTAGCCTTATGAAATCCCTTATTTGCCTTAGTTTGTCTCGATATATCTGAGCTTACTTAGTCCTTTATTGTAGTTAGTGTTTTTACTAGGTTGATTGTTGTTGTAGGGGCAATGCCTGTTTTGGTTATAAAATACCTATTTAAGTTAAGGAAACTTCCAAGACAACTATCCAACCATCGCTCACTACCCATATGTTGATTTTGTGTATAATGTAAGTCTTACACACTATTTGTTCCAAATTTTATATTCTACACTTTCTCCATTTTTAC